GGAACTGCCCCACAGGGTCTCCAAGGCTGTCAGTCTCTATGGGAGCAAAGCCCAAACCACACCCACTGGAAGCAAAGCCCAAACCAAAGTCACTGCCACTGACTTGACTTGACTCATAGCGACCCCTCCTTGGGTTCCGGAGGCAGTATCACTACAGAAGTAGATTGCCCCACCTTCCTTCCGAGGAGTGGCTGGTGGGTTTGAACCGCCAACCTTTTGGTTAGCAGTCAAGTGCCTTAGGCACTACGCCACCAGAGCTCCCAGAACCTGCTCAGATCCTGGCAATACGTAACATAATTCAGAGCCCACCACTCACTATATATATATAATACGTATCTTTATTGCAGTGTGGATGGAAGTTCACAGAATATATTAGTTTTCCATTCGACAATTTATGTTCTGTGTCATGACATTGATTGCAATCCCTTTAATGTGACGACACTCTCCCCACTGCTTCCCTGGGTCCGATTCATCCTTCTTTCTTGCCTTCTGAGCTTTGTTTTCGGGCAAATGCTGGCCTTCTGGTCTCATATGGTTGACTGGACTTAGAAGTCCGTTCCTTTCTGGGGTTACCTTACAGGACCGACCACATCAAATGCCATTTTAACCCATGACCATTGTAACACTTAACATCCACGTTATATCTCACTCACAACAACAAGGTAGGCACTTCACTATGCCCATTTTCCAGGCGAGGAAACAAACCAAGGCTCAGAGCAGGCATTTGACTTGCCCAAGGTCACACAGCAGGGAGTGATAGAGGAAACTGAGTTGGGTGGTTCCACATAACCATGAAGCTTTGGGAGCATCTCTTAGGGGCTGGGCGACTAGCTTCCTCCCTTCTCTGGAACAAATTTTTACTACTTTTCTGCACAGTGTGGGTAGAAAATCAAGAGTGGGGAGGGAGTGATGGAACACGAGAGATGTTAACAGGGGAGGGGCGGCAGGAGTCGGTGGAAGAGAGTCCACGGTGAAGACAGCAACCGTCTGGCTCAGTTGGAACGAATGATTCTCTCTATCCAGGAACTGTATTTGCAGATCTGGGTGTAGACAGCGGGATGCCGGGCAGAGCCACAGGGGTAAATACCCCACGAAAGGATGCCCTGCAGGGTCTCGTCACAAACCAGGGGGCCACCGGAGTCACTCTGGAGGTAGGAGGAAGGAGAGATCAAATGAATACACCCATCTGAGAGCAGCTATTTTGCAGGCTGGAGTAGTGATGGGGACCGGGCCAGGGCAGCTGGGTTGAAATAAAGATGAGGTTGGGTTGGGTTGGTGGGTGGGGTGGGTGGGAAAGGTAGTGGACTTGGGGCTACGGGGGCTGAACTGAGGGATGAAATGGACCTGAGTTGGACTTGGGATTGTGGTTCTTGTTAAGGTAGGAGATGGACATGGAGATGGGTCTGGGATAGGGATGGGGTTGGGGAACGGTGTGAGGGTGGGAATGGGGCTGAGGACACAGATGGAGTTTGGGAGGGGTTAGGACAGGTGGGGGTAAGGCAATGGGAACCCACGGAGGTGGAGTTGGGCCAGGGTATGGGATAGTGTTGGGAATGCAGTTGGGGGTCGAGGGTGAGTGTGGAATACGGTCTTCTGTTTCCCCATAGCCCGATCCTCCCTCCTATGACGCCCCCCACCCCCGCCGGCCAGTCCCTACCTGGCAAGGGTCCTGCCCTTGGTCCAGCCCAGCGCACATCATGTTGCTGGTGACCACACCAGGATAGAAGACCTCACACTCCTTAGGGCTCAGGACACTGACCTTGGAACAGCTCAGGCCCCTGTTGTACTTCACTGATGGGAGAGAAAGCCGGTCATTCCCGGGCTCAGCCTCTGCCTCCCGGATCCGGAGTCCACACCCTTCCCACGCCAGGACCCAGGGGTCCAGGCCCCCCCAGCCCATCCTCCCCCAGACCCAGGGGTCCAGGCCCCTCCTCCCTCGGACCCTGGAGTCCAGGCCCCCAGCCCCTCCTCCCTGGGACCTTCTTCCTCGCACGAGATCAGGCATGTTCAGGGTGGCAGGGCCATCGACTCCCTGTTCCTTCTGGCGCTCCCTCCCAGAGACACAGGTTCCAGAGCCCCCAGCCCTTGCCTCTTGGGGTGGCTGAGGTCCCCCAGCCAGCAGCCAGGCACTGGTCTCCGGGCTGGACACACTTGTGGGGCAGGCGCAGCGCCTGGATGCGGGGCCCCAGCACAGCGGGCCTGGTCAGCTTCAGCAACATCAGGTCATGTTCGTCTGTGCGTCTCGGGAGGATGGGGCCGGAGCCGTGCCGGTACTTGGGGTGGACGACGGAGCGAGAGGTCCTTCGCAGCTGCTCGCCCTGGAGAAGCAGCAGGTGGTCATCCCCGATCCGAGCCCACAGCGGCCTGCTGGGAGAAAGGCACAGGTGGGCAACCTTGGTAGAGACCGGGATGGAGCCCCTGGGACGGAGGGAAACGGTGGTGAGTGACGGCAGACCCCCGGGAGCTAGGCATGCTAGATCCCAGGGAGGAGGGATGTGGGACTCCCAGGATCTGGAGAGAGCAGGTGTGTGGCCTTCCAGTTCCGCTGGAGGTAGGGACTCCCACATAAGCCCAGACCTTCCTCCATCCCTGGGGTCTCAGGAGGTGAACTTTTTCTTCCAGATCCGAACTCCTAAGCACATCAGAGCATGACTCTCTCTGTTGCATGCAGGTGTGTTGTGAGTTGCCCTGGAGTGTTGGTCTGACTCATGGTGACGCCATCTTTATGATAGCTGGTGGCCATGGTTGTGGTCTCTGTGTTTTTTGGAGTGCCTTCCAAACTAGGCAGCTCATCTTGCTCATCTTTCCTGTATCAGATCACATTCTGTGATGATCCACAAGGTTTTCACTAGCTAACTTTTGGAAGCAGACTGCCAGGCCAGTCTTTCTCATTTGCCATAGTCTGGAAGCTCCCCTCATCAAATCCTGCTGGTATTTGAAACACGGGGTGGTATAGTGTCCAGCTGCCAGAACGAACAAATCTAGAAGAAGACCCTCAACAAGATGGATTGACACAGTGGCTGCAACAATTATGAGGATGGAGCAGGACCGAATAGTGTTTAATTCTACTGGACACAGGGTCGCTAAGAGTCAAAACTCACTCAGTGCAACCATCACCATCACCAACGTAGCGTCCAATATAATGGCATCAGACAAGTGACCACAGTACGACAAACTAACCTATAACTGCATATAATTGTTGTGCTTTGTTGTTTTGACAGAGCAGAATTGCCCCACAAGGTGTCCAAGGCTGTCATCTTTACAGCTGACTGCCACGTCTTTCTCCCACAGAGCAGCTACGGGGTTTGAACCCCCAACCTTTCAGTAAGCAGCATTAGGTTTAACCACTGCACCACCAGGGCTCCCGCATATAATTCCCATGACTGAGTTGGTGTCGACTCATGTAACTACCTACATCAAACTGACAACCAAGGGAGGATTAGGTGGACCAGGTTGAGGAGACCAGGAAGTGGAGAGGAACCACACCGCCCCCTGGTGGCCAAAACAGCCTCACCTCGCCCCCTACAGGAAGCCCTCCAGGACTGACCCTCTACCCCTGCTGGGCGAGTTCCTTACCCAGCCTTTCCCGCGCCCTCCAGGGGGTCTGCCCCCACCGCCCCTCGGTAGCTCCACCTACTTGTTATTCTGGCAGTGCGCGGCCGTGAGCACCCAACTCTTGTCCACCAGAACGCCGGCGCAGTGGAACGAGAGGCCATTGAACAGGGAGACTTGCCAGGGCTGCGAGCCGCGCGCGCACGGGGCGCTGAAGGTCGCGGGGTCTGTGGCGGTGTGATTCCTGGGGAGCAGAGTGGCCTCCGCAGCTGCAGTAACAGAGGCGGTCGCCGGTCAGAGCAGGACCGGGGCTGGGTTTGGGGTTCAGGGCGGAGCCAATGGGTGGGACTGTGGAGTGGGGGGGTGGGGAGCGATCGGAACCGCTAAACATGAGGGAGAACTTGTGAGATCGGTTGGGAACACAAAGGCAGTGTGAGGCGAAGAGTCACGTGAAAGGAGAAGGAGGCGGGGGTTAGGGCGGAGCTAAGCATGGAGGGGCGGAGACAGAACGCGGCCCCGCCACAAGCGGGAGGGGACTGAACGCGGTTGGGAGAGCAGGGGGCGGGGACAGAACGCGGCGAGTGGAGAAGGGGGCGGGGACAGAACGCAACCGGACCACAGTCGGGAGGGGACAGAACGCGGCTGGGCGAGCAAGGGGCGGGGACAGAATGCGGCAGCGGAGAAGGGGCGGGGACAGAAGGCGGCGAGTAGAGAAGGGGGCGGGGACAGAACGCGGCGAGTGGAGAAAGGGGCGGGGACAGGACTACACGGGCGGAGGAGGCGAGAGCATGGAACGTGGTGGGGCCTGGAGCGGGCGGAATAGAATAAGCGAAGTGAGCGGGACCCGAACGCGGGGAGCTGGGGGAGGCGTGCGGGTGGAAGAGGGTGAGGGTGGCACTATGGATGGACTAGATGGGGGCTAAAACGCAGCGGGGCGAGAAGGAGCCGGGCACAGGATCCAGGCAAGAGGAGAAGGGGACAGGGAATAACTCAGCGGGGAGGAAAGAGAGGCGGGGATTATCAGTAGGACCCGAGAGCTGGGCCAAAGGGACGGAGCCCGAGTGCAGCGGTGAGAGAGGCGGGGACCGGATGGGCCGGAGGTAGAACTCGGAGAGGCCAAAGGGAGTTTCTAGTTGGTCGTGGGTCAAACAGGGGGCGAGGCCGGATTGGGGACCCAGGAACTAGAGACGATCGAGATTTGGGGGGCGGACCCTGCTCCCGGTCCCTGCGTGGATCCCGGCGCCCCAAGACGAGAAGTGAGAAGCCCACACCCCCTCCGATCTCCCCCGGCCCCGGGGCCTGTCGCCACCCCCTGCGCCCGCCTCACCCCAGAGTTGCGTTATCAGCAGCGGTATCAGCGTCCGCAGGGCCCGGGCGCCAGAGGCGGCGGAGAGGTGGCGGTGCGAGGGTGTCATGTCCAGAAACTGGGCGGAGGTGGGGTGGGGTGCCCGTGTTAGAGACCCTCACCCCGCCGACCAGCCCAGCCGACGACCCCAAGGGTGGTTCAGGCCCGTCAGCCCTAAATACACATGATGACCCCTCGTGACCTCCCTGCGCCCGCGGGGAGCGCGCGCCGAGCTCGGGGACCCCAGGCTGCCAGGCGCACCGCGCGCGGCGGCTTCGTCTCCTTCACGGGTGGGGTGGGGGTCGGAGACTCTCAGTGGGTGGCACCCTCTCCCTAAGCAGCACCGTTCTGGAGACTAACCCGCAGACGGGGAAACTGAGGCTGAAGCGGGGCCCCTGCCCGTGGTCTGAGGGTCCAACCCGTGCGCTCGCGACCACCCCCCCAGCTTGGGTGGGGTGCATCCCGCCTCACCTGGAAATCACGGCAGGTAGGAGGAAGGACGACACCCAGCGGTTCCTCCGCCCTGCAGTGTGATCCTCTGCCCAAGGACCCCTGGCCTGGCCTTCCCTTTTAACCCTGAAGAGCCCGGAAGCTTCCCCACCCACCCTTCAGGGGCTCACCCCCTCGGTTTCCCTCTCCGTAATTACACCTAGGGTGGGGCTGGCACCCAACCTGGGTCTGGATTCCTGCCGTGGGAGGGGCCCGGGAATACAAGCTTCTTTCTCTTTGTGCTGTGTGCCAAACACCCTTCTGCAGCCAAATTCTGTGGGGTTCTCCCATCCCTGTGGCCCAAGAAACCTTCCCAGGTGGGAAGAGTGAGTAACAGGTCCTCAGAGGATGTGGGAGAGGTGCAGGTGGCGTTGGAGACAGGTGATGGAGAGAGGAAAGTAAATAAATAAACAGGGAACCGCATACCTCAAGTGACCAGGTAAGAAGCCGGATTGTCTGTCGAGGGGAAGGCTGAGAGGTGGGATGGACTGAAGGCCAAAGGAGAGACAGACTGGCTCCGAGACAAGGACGGAGGGAGACTGAGAGCCAAGGCCAGCCAGGCCGAGATGCACAGAAAGGAAAGAGGAAGAGGAAGAGACACAGACCCAGGGGACCCGACGTCTCAGGGTCAGTCCTCCAGGGGCACTGAGCCGTGGCTTTGTGTGTGGCCATCTCATGACCTGCCCGCCACCTGTGTGTCTATGGGTGACAGGCCCATGGCTTACAGGAGGCCAAAGAGGGGCACCTCAGCCAAGTCCCTCATTTCAGGTGAGAAGTGGGGGAGCTAGACAGGCTCATCCTGACAATCCAAACCCACTGCTGTTGAGTCAATTCTGACTCCTAGTGACACTGTAAGAGGAGAACTGCCCCATGGGGTCCCCAAGGCTGTCACTCTTTACGGAAGCCGACTGCCTCATCTTTCTCCCGTAGAGTGGCTGGTGGGTTTGAACCGCCGACCTTTTGGTTAACGGCACAAAGCTTTAACCACAGCACCACCAGAGCTCCTTCCCGACAACCATGGAACCACAAACCAAAACCAAACTCACTGCCGTTGAGTCAGATCCGACTCATAGCAAACCCTCCTCGGGCTTCCAAGGCAGTATCACTACGTAACTCAATTGCCCAACCTTCCTTCAGAGGAGTGGCTGGTGGGTTTGAACCACCAGCCTTTTGATTAGCAGCCCATGACTTTAACCACAGCACCACCACAACTCTTTTCCAACAACTACAGAACCAGGAGGCTTCCATTCCAGCTCTGGGCGGCCATTCCTCACGGCAGCCACCTCTCCCTGTGAGGTGAGCGGGCCATTGGGAAAGGTCCCGGGTTCTGGACTAGGTGTCGGACACCTTTCCCACTGAGAACTGACTCCCGACTTTGTACAGAGCAGTGCCGTCTAGTGGGAGACTCTGCAGTGGTGGGAATGTCCCATTTGTGCCATCTAAGTCACGCGTGGCTGGTGTGCACGTGAAGTGTGGCCAGTGTGAGTGAGGAGCTGAGGTTCCGATCTTGCTCGGTTTTAGTTTAGACAGCCACTTGTGGCGGAGGACTACCCTACCAGCCAACACAGAGCTAGTTGAGCTGCTATTCATCATGGAGGCTGGGAAAAAGAATACCTTTTTGTGAGGTCTTACTACGTGCGCACACTTACTATGTGCAACCAGAGCCTTGCACGCTTACGGATTTCACAGACAAGTAAAGTGAACTTTGCTTTATAAGAGCTCACCTAGCTTCAGATCTTTCCTCTTTGCTTACAGGTCGAGGGACCATGAACAGGGGATGTCATGTCCATACCCCACAGTACCGACCTTGTAGACTTTTGTAAGGACTAAATTAGTTGAGGGAGCTCTGGTAGCATAGTGCCTAAAGCACTTGACTGCTAACCAGAAGGCTGGCGGTTCAAACCCACCAGCCACTCCTCGGAAGGAAGATGGGGCAATCTACTTCCATAGTGATACTGCCTCGGAAACCCAAGGAGGGGTCGCTATGAGTCGGGTCCGACTTGATGGCACATAACAACGACAACAACAAATTAGTTGAAACATTTAAAACCTTTTAGACCAAGGTCGGGCACTAGTAACAGTATGAAATGTAAGTCCTCAATACATTCATTCATTGAACAAATGATTTTTGAGCCCTTGGTGTGTGCCAGGAACTGTCTTAAAAACCCACCCACTGCCATTGAGTCAATTCTGATTCATAGTGACCCTATTGTTGTTGTTGTTATGTACCGTTGAGTCAAACCCGCCTCATAGCGACCCCTCCTTGGGTTTCTGAGGCAGTATCACTACGGAAGTAGGATTGCCCAACCTTCCTTCCGAGGAGTGGCTGGTGGGTTTGAACCGCCAGCCGTCTGGTTAGCAGGCAAGTGTCTTAGCCCATAGGGTTTCCAAGACTGAACATTGACGTGGAAGGAGACTGTCTCATCTTTCTCCCATGGAGCAGCTGGTGGGTTTGAACCAATGACCTTTTGGTTAGCAGCCCAATGCTTTAAACACAGTGCCACCAGAGCTCCTGAGGAACTGTCTTAAGGTTTGGCATACAACAGTGAACAAAAGAAAACCAAACAGCTATTATCATTCCCACAGTCACAAGTTAGTACAAGCCAAGATTGGAATCCACGTCTTGCTGATTCCAAACCCCAAGTTGATCCCAATGTCATTCCCATCTTCAATCAAGGAGACCCAAAGAAAATACATAAAGGGTCCTGGTTTAGTGTTTAATTAGACCAGAATAAACGGAAAGATCACTTAGTAATAAGAGTGCTGAGCTGTGACAAGCTGGTCCTGGCTAATTGCTTTCCATGGTCTTCTTGATCCAGTCCACATATTTGCAGACCTTTGTGTAGACACCAGGCTTTTTGGTGACAGCGCATGGATCCTGGCCCCAGGAGATAATGCCTTGCAGAGAACCGTTACAAACAAGAGGTCCCCCAGAGTCACCCTGGGGATGAGGACAAAGAGGGCCAATCAGAGAAGAGGGGTAGCACCGGGCATGGTGTTGGGCAGAAGATGAGGTGGGGTTCAGACTGAAGATTGAGTTGGCAATGGTACTAGCTGGGTAGGAAGCTGGGGTTAGGGATGAGAATGGGGTGAAGTAAGAGCTGAAAATAAGTTTTGGGATGGTCAGGGTTGGAAATGGGTGTGGAAATGAGGATGGAGCTGGGGTGAGGATAAAGGTTGTGTTGAGGTTGGCTGTGGGGATTGGGGATGGAGTGGAATTTGGGGGCACAGTGCCTAAGGCACTTGACTGCTAACCAGAAGGCTGGCGGTTCAAACCCACCAGCCACTCCTCGGAAGGAAGGTTGGGCAATCTACTCCCATAGTGATACTGCCTCGGAAACCCAAGGAGGGGTCACTATGAGTCAGGTCTGACTTGACGGCACATAACAACAACAACAGGGGTAGGTGGGGTTGGGGTTGAGGATAAACTTGCAGGTGGACAGGAAGACGTCATTGAGATTAGAGATGGGGGTTAGCCACATGGTTGGAGACCCAGGCTCTGCACTCTGACCTGGCAGGAGTCCTTGCCCTCTTCTCGAACGCTGGCACACAACATGGTGTCGGTGATGTTACCAGGATAGGCCTCCTCACACTCCTTGTGCTCAATGATGGTGATGTTGGCACATCGCAAAGTGTGGGGTAGGTGCACTGTGAAAATGGTACAAGAAAGTGTGGGCACTGGAGTCCCTTTTCTTTGTAGTTGTAGCTCAATATTAAGGATTTGGAAAGACTCCCTTTCCCTCTTGCTTGTAGCCAACTCATCTTTCTGCTTCTAAAAACAGTAATTAATAATGCTATCAAATAAGGTCTTTATGCCAGGATACTCTGTCATCAATATCTCCGATCCAACCTTGAGAGGTAGGTGTGATTACTCATATTTTATAGAGAAGACAATCAAGGTTCAGAGAGGTGACATCACTTGCCTAAGGTCCCACAACTAGCAAGTTGTGGAGCTTGGATTGCACATCCTATCTGTCTGACTCCAAGGCTCAAACTTTTATCTCCACCCTCCTCAGCCCTTATTATACCACTCTTCCTTTCAAGGTATCCCACCAATGACACCCCCCTACATCACTACGATTCCCGAATCCTTCCAATCATGGCCCCCTCCCCATGTTCCCCTTTGGAGCCCCTACACTGGGGGCTGGATGTGGTGCCCCAGCCAGAAATGAGGCAGCGAGTGCCAGCGGTGACACAGTGTGATGACAGGGTGAGGGGTCGCACGGCCCGGGTGATGAGAGCTGGTGCTGCCATTTTCACCAACATGATATCATTGCGGTGGTCTTTGTTGGGGAGGCTGTTGTTGTATTCTGGGTGGGGGAAGGACTCGGTGGCTGTCCGAGTCTGCTCACAGCCATCCTCTCGCTGGAGGTTATGTTCGCCCAGGTGTACTATGTAGTGGCTGAGGTGGAAGAGATGACGGTCAGAGATGAAAAGGGAGGGAGACGTAGGAGATGAGGGAAGACACAGAGGGAGAGATGTGTGACACCTGTGAGGATGAAGGGATGCCACTCCACTTCCAACCTCACTCCCATCTCCCACCAAAGCCTCCATCCCAGACATATCCCCAACCCACTGCCCAACCCACTTCCAGTTCCAACAGCATCCCTTTTCCTCCAGCTTCGATCCCATCAATGCTAACGCTTATCCATCCATCCACGTCTTTCACCTTGACCTCCCCTCGCCCCATGCACATCTTCTCTATCCCTTCTCCCATCTCCTTCCACCTGTCCATCTCCAGCTCCCTCCCAGCCCCGCCCCAGCCCCCGCACCCACGGCTTGCGGCAGTGGGCAGCTGTCAGGAGCCATTGGGGAGCGATGAGCGTTGCCCCGCAGAGTAGTCTTGTCTTCTGGAATAGTGCCACCTGCCAGGGCTGGGAATGGGGGGCACATTCGTGTCCCTTGATGATCCTGGTCTCTCCCCCTACATGCCCTGGAGGGGGCAGGGGCAAAAGAGGGGACTCAGGCACGAGAGGAGGTAGGATGGGTGGACGCGAAGGAATAGGGGTGTTGAGAAGAGAGGGAGGGTGGGTGGTCTGGGTCCCAGCCCAGAGCCCCGCTGTGATGCATCGTACAGACGATGGGGCATTTAATGATTGAAATAGTTCCAAGCTGGTTGGTCAGTACACTACTGTCCTGTTGTTGTTGTTGTGATGTGCCATCGAGTCGGCCCCGACTCATAGCGACCCCTCCTTGGGTTTCTGATGCAGTATCACTACGGAAGTAGATTGCCATTGCCCAACCTTCCTTCCGAGGAGTGGCTAGTGGGTTTGAACCGCCAGCCTTCTGGTTTGCAGTCAAGTGCCTTAGGCACTGCACCACCAGAGCTCCTACCTTCACAGAAGCAAAGCCCAAACCAAACCCAGTGCCTGGAGGGGATTCTGACCCACAGCGCCCCTAGAGGACAGAGTGGAACTGCACCACAGGGTCTCCAAGGCTGTCAGTCTTGATGGGAGCAAAGCCCAAACCACACCCACTGGAAGCAAAGCCCAAACCAAAGTCACTGCCATTGACTTGACTTGACTCCTAGTGACCCCTCCTTGGGTTTCCGAGGCAGTATGACTACAGAAGTAGAATTGCCCAACCTTCCTTCCGAGGAGTGGCTAGTGGGTTTGAACCGCCAGCCTTCTGGTTAGCAGTCAAGTGCCTTAGGCACTGCACCACCAGAGCTCCTAAGCACTGTCCTAGCACTATGCAACTGTTCCCACCCCACCCCAGGTGCCCTCTCCCTCCAGGACCTGCCCGACCTCTCCTCAATCTAGCATCTAAAGGACTTGCACATGGAACAGCACCAAACAGCTGCAGAACCGCATGGGCCCTCTCTGTTCAGATGCTCTGTGGACGGTTCTATGTTTTGAGCATCGCCCTGTCAGTGCCCAGGCAGAGAGGGTTGAGGATCGACCCTAGAGACTTGAAGGGGAAGTGCCTGCCCTTCCGCGCCCCTCACCGTACCTGTCACCAGAACAAGCGTGATTAATTGCAGAATCGTCATGGCCTGGAGCTGCAGCCGGGGTAGGGCAGGCCCCAGGTTCTTCTGGGAACAGGGAAGGACAGAGGCAAAGCCACTTTACCAGGAGACTGGGGGCCTGCTCCGAACCCTTTTCTCTCCCTCACCCGCTCCAGCCCCCTGCTTCCCCCAGGGAGAAATCTTAGGGCTTGGGGCGAGGGGGTCCCCTGGTTCTCACGGCACTCCAACCTCCAAACCCTTGAACTAAGTCTGGTATGGAGAGCGGCCTTGGAAGGGGTCTGATGCTGGCTAGAAGCTTGCGGTATGCCAAGGAGGGTGAGGAAGCTGTTGGGAGAGGCGCTGTTTGGGGCAAGCGATGGGCTGGCCCCGTTTTAAGTCAGTCAAGGGATGTCTGTCCCTGGTGCATTTTGGAGAACGATCTCCTTCCTGGCCACCTGAGACGGGGCCCAGGGTCTGGGAGAGGAGCAATAAGGACCTGAATCCATCCGGCGGTCCTGCCCCATGTTCCTTGACCCAAAGGCAGGGTGACATGGGCCCTTTGAGGTCTGCCAAGGAAGGGTGCAGAAGGGGCTCACCCTGGGACAACGTCCTGACCCCCCACCTTGCTGAACCCCTTTTCCTTTGAGGCATGGCTGGGCGGGGCTGGCCAGGGGAGGGCCAGCGGGGCTGGGGGTGGAGGGCTGGGCTCTGCTTCCACCAAACCTGGGGTCAGAGGTCTTTCGAGGTTGGGGGAGCTGGGGCAGGGTGAGAGGCGCAGAGACAGACAGAGACCCCCTCACCCAGGCCGAGAAGGAAGGTGCGAGGGAGGGAGGCAGGGGCGCGGAGGCAGGGGCCAGGCGCCCCGGGGCGCCCAGGCGCCTGGAGGGGGTCAGGGCACGGTTTCCTTCCCCTTCGCTCCGGGACTCACGGGCGGGCTCGGCTCGGGGTCCGGGGGCCCGGCGGCGGCGGCGGCAGCAGGCTGGGTCGGAGCGCCAGGCACAGGCGCCGGGCGGCCCCGGGCAGGGCCCTGGGATGACGGGGCCTCCTAGCTCCGCCTTATCGGCCGGCCCAGGACCTGGGAGGTGCCGCCGGCGCCGTGTCCCCTCCTCCCCTCTCTGCTTTTCTGGCTGTCTTCGCGTCTGTCTGTCTGTCCATTCTTCGGGGTCCTTCCGGTCTCTCTCTTTACCTGCCACTTTCTAACCCGATCTCTGCGTGTCTCTCAGTTTTTCTTCCTGTCCGTATTTCTGTCTCTTTTGTGCCCCTGTATCATTCTTCATGTCACCCTTTGTCTGTTTTCTTTCTGATTCTTTTTTTTTTTCCGTCTTTAATTCTCCCCCACTTCCCCCCCATTCCTCTCTCTCTCTACCTAGTCTGCATGTCTGTCCTCTTCCCCATACCTCTTCCGCCCCATCTCCCAGCCAAGGTGGACCTCTGGCCTCCTCAGGGGGAACCTCTCCCCTTTCTCTATTCCAAGGAAGGGGGAAAACTGGGGCATCTCAGAGGTGGGGCAGGACCGGAGGGTGGGGGAGGCAGGTCGGGGCCTGTGGGAGTCTTGGGCCAGGAAAAGTCAATTAACCCTTTGCAGGCAGCCTAATCCCCAAGACGGCTCCGGGGCTGTGCTTCTCCTCTGACCCTTCCTCCTGCCGCCCTGGCCCAGCCCCCAGGCCCCCCGATCGCCCAGCGTCCGAATACAGCTGCTGTGTCCACTTACTCTCTGTGTGACCTCGGCAAGATGGCTCCTCAGTCTCCCAGCCACCTCAGCCGGCTCATCAGTAGACGTGCGGTTCCCTACTTCTCCCAGTTTGTTTATCAGATGTCCTCCTCTATTCCTCGCCTCTCCCCCTACCAGGTGTGGAACAAGGCGGGGTACGCCCGGGTGCTGCTAGCTCTTCCTCTTCCTACCTGTGTGACGTGGGACCTAGAACTCCACCTCTGTGAGGTTCAGTTTCTTCACCTGCGAAATGGGGGTGGCAGCCCTGCCTCGTGGGGTTGGGATGAGGACTCTAGGAGATTCCACATAAAGAGAACCCAGCACAGTAGGCACTCAGCAAATGTCCCTGTCCCCACTGGGAGCGTGCCTCACTCCTCCCCGTCTCGACTAGTGCTGGTGAAGAATACTGAGTACACCACGGACTTGCCAGAGGAATGAACACGTCTGTCTTGGAAGAAGTACAGCCAGAGTGTTCCTTGGAAGCTGGGGATAGAGCGATTTTGTTTCATGTACTTTAGAGATGTGATCCCTGGAGAAGGGCATTGTGCTTGGTAAAACAGAGGGTCAGGGCAAAAGAGGAAGACCCTTAATCAGATGGACTGACAGCGTTGCTGCAACAACGGACGGGCTCAAACACAGCAATGGTAGTGAGGAAGCACGGGACCAGGCAGAGTTTGGCTCTGTTGTACCTAGGGTGTCTATGAGTTGGCGCTGTCTTGATGTCACCTGACAACAACAATTCCACTTTGGCGGATGTGGGGAGAAGATGTTTTCTTTCCACATTGTCTTTTGTCCGGGGAGAGCTGGTGGAGACCCAATCGAGAAGGTGAGCAGGACCTCTCTTGCTTTCCAAGACTACGCCCCATCCATCATCATCACAGACATATTAAAACAAACCCACATTCGACATGAAACACAAAGTATATTCAACTACCAGCCCCACTACCACTGAAATGATTCTGACTCATAGTAATCCTATAGAACAGAGTAGAAATGCCCCATAGGGTTGCCAAGGTCGTAAACTTTTATGGACGCCGACTGACACATCTTTGTCCTGCTGGTGGGTTCAAACCGCTGATCTTTTGGTTAGCAGCCAAGTGCTTTAACCACGGTGCCACCAGGGCTCTCTCGTTCAACTGCGAAAGAGTTGGATTGCAGTTGGCTAGTTGAAAGAATGTTACATTTAATAGGCATTTAATTAAATGGTCATGAATTATGATTTTGGAGTTTTCATTTTGTGGTTTAGGAGACAATCCTTGTTTTTCCCCTTTCAGGTTTTTCATGAGTCCTTGAAACCCCTCTTGACTCTAGACCCAGTTCTTGACAAGCTGCCTAGGAAAAAAAATGATTGATTTTATTATCATAGGTAACTTTTTTTTAATTTCATTCCTGTGTGACTCTGGGGGAAAATTCTTATCTCTGGTCTCTATTTTCACACCTGTAAGTAGGGGAATCCATGAACCTTCCATACAGTGGCAACCAGTATGTTATGTTGTTGTTATTTGCCGTCGAGTCGCCCCCGACTCATAGCGACCCCTCCTTGGGTTTCCGAGGCGATATCACTACGGAAGTAGGATTGCCCAACCTTCCTTCCGAGGAGTGGCTGGTGGGTTTGAACCGCCAGCCTTCTGGTTAGCAGTCAAGTGCCTTAGGCACTATGCTACCAGAGCTCCTGGCAACCAGTATGGGGACATCAAAAAGATTGACATTACCCCTCTTCCAGTTATATTTATTCCACATAGTCACCCTCCTCCCAAACATGGCTCTTGGAAGGGCTGACTGAAGTTGGAGTTCCAGGAAGAAGGTTCTCACACTGAGAAGTGTGGGTGCTGTGGGTAATGATAAAGGAGGTGCTGGTACTCTGAGGGTCAGAGTGGCCCCCCAAGCTGTGTGGATGTGGAAGAAGCAGGTCAGTTGTTCCTTATGACGCTGTGAATCCAGTCCACATATCTGCAAATCCTGGTGTAGACTCCTGGAATGCCTGCTTGCCCGCAAGGCCCCACGGACCCCCAGGACACCAGACCCTGAAGGACTCCGCCACATACCAGGGGGCCCCCGGAGTCACCCTGTAGGGAAGAAGGAGAAGAAGCGCTTTCTGAATCTAAGAGAAATTCTCTTTTCATTTTCCTATCCTCAGCACCTCCAACCCGTTCGTGAGCCATGAAGACAGTGACTCAATTCAGACAGATCCTCTGAAGACAGCGGCAGGGATCCTGACCAATAGAGAAGAAAGTAGCATCTGTATGAGCCAATCCCAACGAATGAGAGGGGGAGGGACTCCATAGGGCGGAGGACAGTCTTCAGGGCAATGGCTGGACCTCTGCCCAATGAGAGAAGAGAACTCTATCTCTAATGACCAGCCCAGAGAAGGAGGGTGGGACTCCATCAAAAGAGTCTCTTAAGGACAGACAATAGGTGGAGCCTTGGCCAATGAGAGAAGAGAACATTATCTCCAATGACCAATCCCAAGGAAGGAAGGTGAGACTGTGAAAATCAAAACGCACTGCTGTCACGATTCCCAGTCCTGGTTACCCGATAGGACAGAGTAGAACTGCCCCATAGAGTTTCCAAGGCTGTAAATCTTTATGGAAGCAGACTTCCCCATGTTTTCCCAAGGAGCAGCTGGTTGGTGGGCTAGAACTGCTAACTTTTCGGTTCACAGCCAAATGCTTTAACCATTCCCGCCACCAGAGCTCTTTGAAACTCTATGAAGGGCAGGGGGTTATTATAAGAACAATGGCTGCAGTCCTGGCCAATGAGGGAAGAGAACAGTATCACCAGTGACCAATCCCAGGGAAGGACAGAAGGTTTTCTGAAGGACATTGGCTAGGCCCTAGCCAATGAGTGCAGAGATTATATTCAATGAGCATCTTAAAGGATAGCGGGCTTTCTCTGGGGTCCTGGCCAGTGAGATGGGGCAGCCTCCTCTCTGAAGGACCCAAGAGGGCAAGAATGCAGAATTAGAGAGTGGGATGGTCCCTCGCTCCCTTTCTTGTCTTCATCCCTGCGCTGGACTAGCACCAAGTGGAGAACTGTACACGGAAGTCTCACAGTCCCTGGTTCCCAGCCTGAATTCCAAGCCCTGGCTAACTCTGCACCGGAACTCCCCTCTTTGTGGCCACTCCCATCTTTCCTTCTCTGCCCCCTACCTCTCTCTGCGCTCTCTGCCCACTTCTCCCCTGCCCTCTCTTCTATTTCCTGGTTCTTCCTCAGTTCTCTGCTTCTCTCCTTCCCCTTCTGACCCCATCTCTCCCCGGCTCTCCATTCCGTTTCTCCAGCTCCTTCTCCTCTGTGTCCCATCCCCTCTCTCCCCCTCCTCTCTGTCCCCCGCTTCCTCCCTTCCTTCCTCTCTATGTCCACACACCTGGCAGGCGTCCTCCCCGGGGGTGCCTCCTGCACACACCATGTTGTCTGTGATTCTTCCAGGGAACATGGCCCGGCAGGTGGCATCAGAGACGATGGTCAGGTTGAGGCACTGGAGCCGGTCCGGGAACGGGTCTGGGGGTGGAAGGTGAGTGCGGCAGGGTGTCCCAAAGTTCTCCATGTTAGGGCCACATCCCTGCTCACAAGGAACCCCAAGACCTCCAGCTCCAAGTCGATCCCACTAGCCTCCTAGTGATCTCCAGGCCACAAACCTAAAACCTCTAAATTTCATGACTTGAGTTCATAGTGACTTTTGACCCCAACTCAGTAGCCCGGTCACCCTGACTTTTGACCTCTGACTGTAAATGCCGGGACTCAAAACCTACCTGTCCTCCAGTCTCAGATACAAGGAACCCAGACTGGTCTTCCCATCTAGTCCAAGATTCTGTGGCCTCTGACCTTCAATCTCATTCGCCTTCCATCCCAACTGAAAGCACCATCTTCTCTGTCTCCTGATGCCATGTTCCTCACCTTCACCTCCAACCTCAGTTCAGTATCCTCATTGTCCCCAACTCCACAGTGACCTCTGATCCTCGTTTATTTAATGCCAGACACTATGACCCCTAATCTCTGGTCCCAGACCACAGACCTCATGACTTCCAACCCCAGACATGCCCTCCTTGATTGAATCTCAATTTCCATCCTCAGATTGTGACCAAATAGCAGTGCAACGTCTGAATCCCATGAGCATAACTCTAATGACCTCAGACCCCAGAGCCCCATGGTTCCTTCTGGACTTCCCTCCATTATAAATACCCCTTACCCCAATCTGGTGACATCACTCTGACCTTATGACATCCACGACCCCTGACTTCATACCCTATCCCTTAACCACGTTGACTCTCAAGACTCACTTGACCCACCCGGTCTATCATCTTTGATGTTTGCCCCACCCCTTGACCCTTCACCTGCCCTTCCTTTGAGATATCATGATCCTTGACCTCTTACTTTACAACCAAAATGTTGCCCCCTGCTCCCAGGTCTCACTTACTCGTTGGCTGGTTGGTGGTGCCCCAGCCCGAGATGTGGCACTCAGTGCCAGCGGTTGCACAACTTCTGGGCAGAGGCAGGGTCTGGACGCCGCGGGTCAGGCGGATGGGCATGCCCAGCCGCAGAAGTCGTAGGTCGTGGTCATGATTCTTCGTGGCTCCTTGGTAGCTGGGGTGGGTCACCGAGAAGCCGCTGCGTCGGATCTGCTCTGTCCAGTCCAGCCGACTCAGGCTGTGTTCCCCAAGGCGCACCCAGTACCTGCTGAAGGGTCATAGCGGGTGAACAGGCACCCAGGCACCCACACACCCAGACCCTGCTGGCCATCTCTGCATCCTTCCTTCACCATCACTGTCCTGTTCCTCTCTCTTTCTCTCTCTAAGTGTCCTTCCGTCTTGCAGTCTGTCTCTGCCTTTCCATGTAGGGTGTTTACCCCTTTTCTCCTCCCATATCTTGATCCCCGTGCACCCATGTGTCTTTCTGATTCTGCTGCGAGTGCCCTGAGGGTAGGGACACCTGTCTTACTTGTTCCTTGCTGAATTCCCAGAACCTAGAGGATGGTCTGGCACAGAGGACGTGTAAACATGGTTGAATGAATGAACAGGTGAGTAATGAATGAGTTCTCTTTGTTCCCGTCCCCAAGTCTCTCTGTTTCCATGTGTCTGAGCTTCCTTTTCGCGAAACACCCAGAGCACAGACTTGGAAAGCGTTTACAGATGGGACCATTGAGGCCCAGAGAGGTGCCAGACTTAAGTCTTTGAGGTTGCACAGAGAATTTGAGTCAGATACGGGTCCATGGTCCAGACAGGGTCAGGGACTGTCTGGGGCTGGTGACAGATGCCATTTAAGAAAGAAATAAGGTGTGAGGGAATGGGAGAAGAAGGGTGGGAAGATCCCAAGACCTTTCCCTCCCCTCTCCTCCATTTAATCCTACTCCACCCTTGGCTACGGTTGAGGAAGTTCTAGTTCTTGGCTAACCTCACGCTCTTTTGCTTCAGAACCAGCTCCTCATCCTTTGGCATGCCCCTTCCCTGAGCCTTTCATTCCAGCAATCTCCTCCAAAGACCGTCCTTTGACCCATCCCAGAAGGGACTCAGAGTAGGCTTACCTGCCCCTGCAGTGAGCAGCTGTGAGGACCCACCTGCGGTCAACGAGAACCCCCCCACATCGCAGTCTGGTGCCATCAAACAGCCCCACCTGCCAAGGCTGTGAGTTAGGGACACACTCAGTACCATTGTAGATCTTTTCTGTGGTCTCCTGGCTGAGCCCTGGGGACAGGCCAGAAAGATGGGGTCAGAGACACAGAGACCGTAGAGCTGATGTGGGGAAAGAGATACCGAGATCAAGAAAGACACAGACAGGGGAAACAGGCAAGAAGTTGGGGGACCAAGATCCAGTGATGTGCAGAACAAGACAGAACAAAACACCAAACAGAGGCAGAGTGACCCCCCTCCCCTCCTGAGGCCAGAGCTGAGGGAGGGGCGATGGAGGTCACCTTTGGGACCAAGCCTCAGTGCCCTGGGGTAAACTCACCGATAAGACACAGAAGCAGAAAGATGCTGAACCCCATGGTGGGGCCACCCCTAAGGTCTGGAGAGATGATGGGGCTTCTCAGAACATGCCTCCCCTTTCCACCCCCCTCCCCCTTTTCCCCATCCCTCCCACCTGTACCCAGTCTTCTTCCTTTGCAAGGAAACCCATCCTCTCCCCCTCCCTCACTCCCAAGAGTCACCCACTTCTTGGGGCCTGTCTGCCTGTCCCTTCTCACCTTGTCTCTATGTCTGCCGTATCTCCTTTGTGGGTGTTAAAATTTCTGCTGTCTGCCTGTCAGTCTGTCAGCCTGTCTGCTATCTTTTTGTACACCTACCTTCTTGTCCTTTCATCTGCTGGTCACCTGGTCTGCCAACTCCCCCACTGTCCACCTGTCTCAGCTGCCTGTCATCACTGCCCCACTACCTCTTCCTTCTGTCTAGTCTGCCCCAAACTGGACGGCGGCCAAGCTTTGAACTCTCTTGGTCTCAGCCCGTTGGATTTCCTGGTTGAGGGAAGGGGACAAAGAAGAGGAGGGTGGGGCGGGTGTCCTCTAATCTTAGAAGCCTTCTGTGGCTAATGACACTTAATTGAGTTTTTACAGCTCAGCAGAGGGGGGAGGGAGGAACGGAGGGGCCCGGCGGGGGTTTAGGAGGGAAGGCTGCACCCTCTTTTCTCTTTCCTCCTCACTAAACCTCTGGACTGATGATGACTCAGAATGACAGAGGAGCTGGGTTCTAATCCCGCTGCAGTGACGAAGCCAGGGAGGCTGCAGAGCTGGGGCGCCTGGGGCCTGATCCCGTGGAGGGAGGTCAGGAAACACAGGCTGAGAACGAGGGAGAGGACTTGGGAGTGGAGTGAGAGGCAGGAAATGGGGGGAGTGAGGAAGAAAGAGAGAGGGAGAGAGGCCATGGAGGGACAGAAGCCATCTCCCAGCTGGCTTCTGTGGAGGTATAACTCTGATGGAGTCTTTGAAATGCTGAGAGGAGGAGCCCTTCTCTTCCCTGTTTCAAGCAGCACCAAAAACCCAACCCAACCCAGGTTGATTCTGACTCGCGGCGACCCTGGGTCAAGGAACAGAGCTTCTTCACAGCATTTTCTTGGCCGTGGTCTATACACGGCAGATTTCCAGGCCTCTCTTCCGTGTTGCTACTGGGTGAGTTTGAACCACTAACCTTTAGGTTCCCAGTTTGTGCCACTCAGGGACTTGATGAGTGGCTCTCTCTTTTGACCCACAGGCTGCCCGTGTTGTGCCTTCTGGATAAAGCCAAAGCCCCACCTCCCCCCAACCCCCCCCCTGCCGCCGCCACCTTTTCTTTTAAATTCCTTATTGTGATTTGGGTCAAAGTGTACAGAGCAAATTCATTTTCCCTACATAGCAATTCATACACATTTTGTCTCATGACTTTGACTGCAGTTACCCACAAGGGAACAGCTCTCTGACCACTTCCTCCCGATAGTTACCTCTTCCCTGTGTCCATGTCTCCATGCACTCCTGCCCCCTGAGCTGTCTCCCTGTGCACACACAGCCCTTCCATTCTCCTGTGATTGATCTCTCCAAGGAGTGTATCTACCTAATATAAGTGGTCACATATTATTGAACAATATGTACAAACTTCCAACCAAACTAGTGCCATGGAGTCAATTCTAACTCCTGGTAACCCCTAGAAGGAGCTCTGGTGGTGCAGTGCCTAAGGCACTTGACTGCTAACCAGAAGGCCGGCGGTTCAAACCCACCAGCCACTCCTCAGAAGGAAGGTTGGGCAATCTACTTCCGTAGCGATACTGCCTCCGAAACCCAAGGAGGGGTTACTATGAGTGGGTCTGACTCTACAGCACATAACAACAACAACAACAATAATCCCTATTGGGTTTCCAAGGTTGTAGATCCTTGTCTATTGTTTATAAAGCCAACCCCTTTATTTTGCAGTTGGAATGGTGCCCAGAGAGGAGAAGAACTGGTTGGTGGTTTGTAGCTACACAGTTCCTACTTTCAGAGAAATCCTGGAGCTTTGAACACCTCTTGCCACCTCCTCCAGGCAGCCCCCCGAGGTCACATGTCTGAGTGCCTCAAGTCTTTCCTTTCTGAGATTATAATAAGCTCATGGTGAAGCCCATTCCCCAGAAAGAACCCAGCCACCCCAACCTATGGGTGAAGGTATGGCACATGGAGACCTTCATCTCTGTGGAAACAGGCACAGTGAGATGAAACCACCTGCCCAAAGTCACCCATCTGGTGAGGAGCAGAACCAGGATTTGAACCAGGCAGGCTGGCTCCAGAACCTATATTCATAATCATTCCCCAAACATATGAATGAATACGCAAATGACTAAATGAGTTAATGTGTGTGTGTGAATAAATGAAGGCATGAATCCCCCTACAGAGTCAAAAAGATGAGATGGCTTTTAGACTACCTGAACCACCTACCCTGAGACCAGAAGAAGCAGATGGTACCCAGCTGCCATAGCTGACTATTTGGACCAGGAACACAATAGTTGGTCTCAGAGTGGGATAAAATGGTAGAACAACTCAAAGAAAAAAAGAAGAAGAAGAGAGCAGACTTACTGCACCAGTAGAGACTAGAGGAACCCCCAAGATAATTGCCCTGAGATGCTTTTTAAGCTTTGAACCGAGACCACTCCCACAGGTCACCTTTCAGCTAAGTAACAGAACGGATCATAAAATAAACAGTATCACCCATGAAGACTTTGCTTTTTTTTTTTTTTTTTAAATCATCTATATGAGACTAAATGACCAACACTTACCTTGAAGCAAATATGTGAAGGGCAAGGGTGGGCAGGGAAGCTAGATTCATGAAAACAGAACAACTAGAAGGAAAATAATGAGAATGTTGACCCAACAGGGAAAACGTAACCAATATTACTGAACAATATGTACAAACTCCCAACCAAACTCACTGCCATAGAGTCCCAACTCCTAGCAACTCCTATTGGGTTTCCAAGGTTGTAAATCATTACAGAAGCAGACCACCTCGTCTATCTTCCATGGAGAAGCTGGTGGGTTCAAACTGCTGAACTTCTGGTTAGCAGCACTACACCACCAGAGTGCCTTGAATAATATGTATAGAAATCATTAAATGGGAACCTGCTTATTTGCTGTGTAAACTTTCACCAAAAAAATACAGTAAAATAGTTAAAGAAAAAAATAATAATAAAAGGTGACTTTGGGAATCATGAAAAGAATTCTGATGGTGTAGTGCCTAAGGCACTTGACTGCTAACCATAAGTTTGACGGTTCAAACCCACCAGCCACTCCTTGGGAGGAAGGAAGACAGGGTAATCTACCTCCTTAAACATTTATTGCCTTGGAAACCCAATGAGGGTCACTATGAGTTGGAACTGACTTGATGGCAGTGAGGCTGGGTTTTTTTTTTTTTTGGAACCATACAGATGTGGGCTGCTGTGACCTGTCTCCTGTCATGGGCTCGAGCTTTTCTCCTGACTTTTGCCAACTTTAAAAATGGGGTTGGGAGAGGCTAACGTCTGCACACTGCTTGCTCTCAGGAACACCAAAGAAAGCAGCAAAGCACTGACTGGTGTATCGGGTACGTAAGTCTACACATTACCAATATGGCTCTTATCCGTGTATTCCTCTCTAAAGAAGGGATTTCCCACGTGGGCTTAGATGACAGAATCTTCCTGGATGTGAAGAAATATCAATTACAGACATTGTTCCTCATCCCCGCTTTCTCTGTCCTTTCAAATCTCTCTTCCTCTGGCTCATTATATTATCTGTCTTATTCATTCACTTACTCATTCATCCACTCACCAAACACTTCCTGAGATGCCCTAGGTGCCTGCCTTGGGACCATGCTTGGACCATTGACTTTAATCAGGGGCTGCCCCACGTCCCCTCCAATTGCAGCCCTGCGTCCCCGCAGTCCTTCCCAAAGTCACGTCTCCACGGGGCTCTCCTGGCTGATTCCTTCTCCTCCTTTCTCTCTCCAGTCCATGGGGTGGCCGTTGCCCACACTCTGTGGTCACAGTCTTGTTTGGGTCTCCAAACACTTCCATGTTGCCCAAGCCAATGGCCACCTCTCGGTCTTCATCTTACTCAGCTTCTCGGTTGCATTGGACACGGCCACCACTCCTCCTTGAAACACACTCCTCTCCCAGCTCCCGGGGCACCATGCTTTTCTGGTTGCCTTCCTGCTTCCTTGTCCCTCCTTCATGAATAGGTCTTCCTTTCACAATCAATCTCTTAAAAAACAAGGGTGTTCCCAGAGCCGCATTCCACCCCTTCGTTGCCCTCACTCCACAAGTTCTTCCTGAGTGAGTTCATACACCGGGACAGGTTCACCTGTTCTCCAGGGCAGAATGGCTCTTAATGGCTCCATCTCTTCAGGCCAGGTCCCTCTCCCTGGGCACCCAACAGTCTCCTGTAGAACCCCCAATGAGTCCTCTCTCCTTCCCCACAAACCCATTCCCAGATGTGAGGGTGGGCAACAGGGCAGGAAGGAGGGGGTGTGAGGCTTCAAGGTTGTCAGCAGTCAAACATCAAAAATAGATTTTTCCACAATGTGAATGAACCTAGAAAACATGACACGGAATGAAACATGTCACTCACAAAAGGACAAACGCTGTGTGATCTCACTTGTGTGAAATTCTGAGTCATTGTAGGAGCACGTGGAACTCTGCATAGGAGTTCCAAGGGGAGCTCTGGTGGCTCAGTGGATCAGGCATTTGGCTGCTAACTGGAAGGTCAGTGGTTCAAACCCACCAGCTGCTTCGTGGAAGGAAGATGGAGTGATCTACTTCCGTAAAGATTTACAGTCTCGGAAACCCAATAGGGGTTGCAATGAGTTGGAATCGACTTGATGGCAGTGAATTTGGTTTATAGTTTTTTGGAGTCTTTATAGAAGCAGATTGCCACATCTTTCTGCCATGGAGTGGCTGGATGGTTTGAACTACTGATCTTTTGGTTAGCTGCTGTGTGCTTAACCATTGTGCTGGGAGTGCTCTTTCATCTATGCCCACGATAGGATACTTTAAGGTGATGGAGACTGTGGGGGTAATTTA